AGGCACATGGGGAAGTGGGCACCTGTCCCCAGGCAGCCACTCGGAGCTAATTGGGGGAACAGAGGTGCCCTGTGAGGAGGAGGGGTGTTGGTGCCCTGCCAGCCTCTCTGACAAGCCCTGTTTACCCAGGCCCTGAGGCACCAGGAGCACATTCAGACATCTTGGGCTTCCAGGAAGGAAAATCCACACTGAAGTGGTTCCTGAGAGCTGTCCATGGCTGTGATTCCTCTTTGATATTCCAGGGCGTTAGTGAAGGGTTCTGCACATCTCTTTCCCCAGGGACAATGTGCATCCATCAGAGAAGTGTTATGGCTCAGCTGGGAAAACATTTCAGGCCACTGCCTTGATTGTTTGCTCTGGAACTCACCCAAGGAGGTACAGGGCCCAAGGGGGATGATTTCCCTCGGGGGTTTTGCTGCTTTGTGCCCTTGGAGGAGACACCAGAGTGTCCCCGTGTGAGATTCTTGACCAGATGGATAAGAGCTGTGATGTCATTGCTTTTCTGAGGTCACCTTGGAGAGAAATTGAGGAAGTGTCTGCAGGACCCTCAACAGTGAATGAATGGATGAAGGAGATTCTCATTGTCCTGACCCACTATCCAGCAAAACCACAGCCAAGGGAAGAGGCCTGGTGGAATCAGGGGGGAAGGAGACCTTGTTGAGCCTGGTGCACACTGGGCACTGTGGGGTGATCCCCTGCTGGTGTCCCAGCTGTCAGTGCAATACCACTGCTCTGATAGGACTGGGTCCTTAAGAAACAAAAGAAGTGCTCAAGCTCAGGGGAGGAGGGGATCTGCTCGCACTTCTCTTCTCTGGCAGTTTCTCTCCCAGGGGGGACATTACATGAGAATTGGGATGCGGTAAAGGACAGGGCTGAGGGCAGCTGCTCCCTCTCTCTCTGGGCTTCGCAGGAGGACGCTGGGAGCAGCTGCCTGGGAAAAGGAATTGGTTGCTGCGGGTGGCCAGAGCAGCTTCCCCAGGCAGGCGCTGTCAGGCGCCTGCAGCACCGAAAGCGTCTCCACTTGGGGCTGCCTTGACAACTGCCCCAGCCCAGCAGACGCCTGAGCCCGGATGGTGCAATCAAAGCCTCACCAGAGGGACGAGAGGACTCCTCGCAGAGCAGATCCAGCCGGGTTTAGTAAGGGAAAATCCAAGGGCCCAGCTGCAGTGAGGCTGAAGAGGGAAACAGGAGCAAGCAGGAACACAACCTCTGCTGAAGGGAACCAGAGGCAAAGAGCCAGGAGCAGGGCTGGGGCCAGGGTATATAACTGGAGGAAGGCAGGAGGGCTCAGGGTACAAATTATCCAATGGGGAAGGGAGTCAGGGCTGGAGTTAAGGTGGGGTGACACGGGACGCACCAACGGGGGAGCAGATTGGGAGGGGTCTCTCAGGGAAAGCCAATGGAGGAACGGGGAGTACAGAACTTTCTGGAACTGGGGGACGAGCAGCAGTCGATTGACAACAGCACATTCACATTAACAAGCAAAGAACCATGGGGAATTGCACCAGTCTCTCACCTTAACTTAAACAGTGGTGTCCTCCAATGACATCCCAGGTTTGTCTTCTCCATGCCTGTGTCTCACATCTCCCCCTTTTTTATTTATTAAATAAACATTTCTCAGTGTTTTGTCAATTCTTTTCTTAAAACACATCAGTGCTGCTGAAATGATAGCAACTATGAGAAGGACCCACAATAAACTTTTAAGAATGGGGGCACCCACACAGGAGCACTCCACTGCATGAGCGTTTTGTCCATCATGTCCACAACTTTATTTTCAGTAAGAAGAGTCTTCATTTGCTCTGGCATTTCTTTGATGGTGGCCTGGATCGATGTGCTTTTCCATGACAGGTTAAAACAACAAAGTCCTTTGAAATCTTCACAACCATGGCCACGGGAGAGCAGCAGGAAGTCGATGGCCGCTCTGTTCTGAAGGGTGGCATGTCTGGTGGTTTCCTCGTCCGCTAGAAGGTCTGATAAGGCAGCGGATGTAGCCTTGGTCTGCTTACTAAGCCAGCACTCCAGGTGAGAAAGGTCACCGAGGGCCTTCACAGCTGCAACCCATGGTAGAAAGATGGAAACAGTGACCCTCTTCATCTTGCCCCAATTATAAATTTGGCCATCACAATTTTGATTGAATTGGGAGTACGATCTTTTCCGGCACACCAATTGAGTTTCTTGTTTCCAATTTTTAATTTGGGTAGTGTTTGGGGTGATGGTAGTAAGCTGGCCAAGACTGCAGGGGCCCCCTTTGATCTTCGAGGGGATCCCTGCCCACACCCTGTCACCACAGATGAGAAACACTCCCTTGGGAAGCACTCTGGGAAAGGGAGAGGACTTAGATAATGTTTTGGCAGTATAATTGCACCAGTCAACATCATTGTATCTATTACCATTTGGTGATATATCTTTTGTCACTATCATCTGTGGTTCAGATTTCTCATGCCAATTTTGTTGGGGTGGCTCATAGAAAAAGTTGACACAAGAAGTCGCTTTGAGGAGCCTGGTAGGTCTAGTTCTTGGAGCTCCTGTGGTGCATGTGGTAAAATCTTCATCCACTCGTCCCATGTTACTACCAGGGTGGGCTTCTTACCTACACAGGCATATTCATTTGGCGACAGGGGGATTCACACCAGACATGTAGACAGCGGGTCTTTTGCACCTCCCATGGCCATGCAAAAGTTATCCTGCTTGAGAGATTTCCCCAGTGTGACCCAGAGGTTTTCTGTTGGTTGTGGCACGACCCATCCAACCGCTGTTTGGATGCACAGGAGCACAGTGACGCTGGCAGCAGCTGTTAAGGTATTTCGAGGTGTCCTGGGAGTGGCCATCTGGTCCTCCAGTGACTCAGTTATCGACTGTTTGAGCACTGATAGAAACATGAATGGTCAAGTTAGTTGTCACTGTAATTTTCTTCGTTTTGTCCCTATGGTAGGGAGGACGAGGGATTGGCAATTGGGGCAGGTGGAGACAATTGCCTTGGCTTGGTCTCTGGAAATCTTAAATTGACCTACTAAAGCTGGAGCATTCTGAGGGAAGAATGCATGGCTTAGACGAGCCTGTTGAAAGACATGTGGTGCAGCGGGGGAAATGTGGGTGGCACTTGCTGCCATTGCTAACAAGTCTGCTCTCCGGCTGCCCTCAGTGATGCATTTTGGCAGCTCTGTGTGCTACCGGACATGCAGGATGTGATAAGGTTGCTCTCTGTGGGAGATGAACCAAATTAATTCAGAGAGCAAGCTGTAGAATTTTTTATTTTGGACTTCCTTGAGCAGGGCACGCTCTGCCCGCTCTGCTATCCCAGTGGCATATGCAGAATCTGTGACTGAATTGAAGGGTTGTTGGAATGTTCGAAACGCCCTCACAGCTGCAGCAAGTTCTGCAGTCTGGGGGGAACCTTCAACAACCTGGATATCAGACTCCCACTTCTGAGTGTCCGGGTCCCTCCAGGTGAACACTGACTGGTGAGATTTGCCTGAACCGTCAGTAAACTGCGTGATAGCGTTTTTGAGTGGAGTTTCACTTTTATCTGATTTTGGGGCCAAATGCAGTGAATCTTTAAAAAGTCTGTGTTTAGGATAATGAATTGAAGTTTTTCCAGGATAGCTGTCTAATGGAATTTGCAGATGTTCATCTGTTTGTAATAGAGAATCTAATTGTTCCAAAGTATAAGGGTGGTAAATGCACGCTGGATCGCAAGCTGCGAGGGTCCGGAGGCGATGTTGGCCTTTAATAATAAGTTTGGCTACAAGTTCTGGTGGGGTGGTAACTGTTTGATGTGGTTGGTGCAGCAGAAAAAGCCACTCGATGATGATGATGAGTGGGGTTTTTGAAGTATCATCCCACTGAAAGAGCAGCACATGGAAGTTTGGGCACTTACCAAAAATACCGAGGCAGAGGGGAAGGGACCGGTCTGTCCGATGTGCCTGGCGGTGTTTGATGGCGCTGGCAACTCTCTCCAAAGCCTCCCAGGCTTCTGGCGTTAGCGAGCGTGGGGAAGCCAGGTCGCCGTCTCCTCGTAGAAGGTCGAAGAGCGGTGCCAGTTCTTCTGTGGTGGGGCCCAGGAGAGGTTGGATCCACGTGATGACGCCGCACAGCTGTTGCGTGTCTCTTAATGTCTGGGGGTGCTCGTTGATGGACAGAGTTTGAGGCACGACGGTCCTTCCTGTGATTAAAAACCCAAGGTACTTCCATGGGCTCCATAGCTGGATTTTTTCCTGAGCTATCTGAAACCCCACGCTTTCGACAGCCGCGACAGTCTTGGAAAGTGCTGCGTCTGAGTAAGACTTGGTGGAAGCACAGATTAGTACGTCGTCCATGTAATGTAGGTGTGAGACTCTGTCTGAAGTTTCTCTCATCTGCCTCACCACCGTCATTGGGTACCACTGAAGAAAAGCCCCTTGTCTGAAGTTTCTGGCCCTGGTGGAGAAAGTTACATGCCAAGGGCTCCAAGACCTGAGCACAGCTCCTGGCATTGCTAAGCTATTGTTCACAGGTGTGTTTGCTGTATGCTACACTGAACCCAATGAAAGGAAGAAAGGGGCCCCTTGCCTTTTTGCAACAATAGCCTTGGAAGTTGTCCCACCTCTCGGCCTGGCTGGACTTCTCCTGAGTTTTGGGTGGTCCCCCACAGAAGACCCCTCACTTGTCTTACAATGGCCGTGACAGACAGACTGAGATGTACAAGGCCTCTCCATCCATGACTGAGACATGAAATCCCTATGTGAAAAGGCCCCCCCACACTCTTTCCAAGGACTGGGACTGAGACCCCTAACCTGGGGGAGGTGTGTGGGGGAGGCAAGCTAACCAAAGCAAGATGGATGTTGCAGGTGCGAGGAGTGGACCAAGAAGACGATGGCTCTCACCGACTGCAGAGAACATGGACTGTGTGTACCCTTCTCTAAATACCATTTTTTCTCCCAAAAATACAATAGACCACCTTTGATTCGGTTTCAAGTTTTACCCCTTCCCCCATCAACAAAAAGAGTATAATAAGAGTTCGGATGAACTGCAACCCTGAGATCTCCCCAGATGTGACCTGGTGAACTCCATTGGCTGGACATCAAAGGACATCGCCGTTTCTATGTTTGGTAGCTCTATACCTTCCTTTCTCTTCCTTCCTCTTTTTCCCTTTTCCCCAGTTCGTCCCCAATGCATTTTGTTGTGGTTATTCAATAAAGGTACATTTGTTTTCATTATCACTGCAACCCCCTGTACCGTGTCGGTGTTTTTTGCACTCTGAGATCAACCCACAAACCACCACGAAACCCGTTCGTAAGGATGGATCGTGACACTTGCATACATACTATAGAAACCTTCTATCAAACCTTAAAAATTCTCTACAAATTCATTTCCAACATTACTGGGTCTGGCACTGTCCAGATCTGGTGGTTGCTGCCACCTCCAGTGCCCAGATCTGGAAATTCCCTTGTTCCGGCAGAGCCAAGTCCAGCAATTTTCTGGTAAAGAAAGCCAAAATCTGGCAATTTCCCACTGCTGACACTGGCAATGCCAAGACATGGTGTTTGCTGCCACCGCCCATACCCCAATCTGGACATACTCGGTTCCAACACAGCCCAAGTGCAGCAGATTTTTGGAAAAAGAAGACAAAACACAGCAATTTCCTGGTGCCACGACTGTCACCACCCAGACCTGGTGTTTGATGGCACCACCCATGCCCAGATCTGAACATTTCCCTGTGCCACCACAGCCCAAGTACAGCAATTTGCTGGCAAAGAAAGCCAAAACCAGGCAAATACCTGGTGCCTACACTACTCCGATCTCGGGTGTGCTGACACCGCCAGTGCCCAGATCTGGAATTTTTCAGATGCCTGCACAGCACAATTCCAGCAGTTTGCTGGCACAGAAAGGTCACATTTGGCAATTTTCCAGTGCCAGCACATTCCCCGCCAAGATCTGGTGTGCGCTGGCACTGCCAGTGCCCACATCTGGCAATTTCCCAGTGCTGGCACAACCCAAATGCAGCCATTTTCTGGCAAAGAAAGCCCAAACCCGGCAGCTCCCAGATCTGGTGTGTTGGGGTTGGTTTATAAGAAGAAGGAGACCTTGGCTTAAGGCCATGGGAAAACCCTCTTTAGTTGGGGTCAGCAGGAGCTCCCGCCCATAATCCTCTTGTTCAGTTATGCAGATTGTTACTAGAAAGTTCTGAGTTCTCTTTGCTACCATTGGTTACATTTTACTGCAAAAATTGTAATATTCATCATCCTTCCTTCCTCTTGGATCCTTCCCTCAGATCCCACCTTAACCCCTCCCCATATATAAATGGATAATTATCCCTGCTGGACCCTGGGCCCAGGCTTTTTTCTGCTTTGCTCTGTGTACTGTGCACGCCATCCTGTTTGTTGTGTTTGCCTTCATTAAAGTTCTGTTTCCAGACAAGCAGATGAAAGCAGTCTCTCTCTGTAAAGTGGCCAGCGCTGGTTCTCAGGGAAACCATTGGCCAATGGTCCGGACGAGGACCAGAAGGTTTCACTGGTGTTTGCTGGCACCGCCAGTGCCCAGATCTGGAAATTTCCCTATTCTGACACAGCCCAAGGGCAGCAATTTGCTGGCACAGAAATCCAAAACCCGGCAACTTTCTGCTACTGGCTCTGGCACCACCCACATCTTGTGTTGGCTGTGCCAGTACCCAGATTTGGAAATTTCCCGGTGCCAGCAGAGCCCAAATCCGGCAGATTTCGTTTGCTGCCAATGACACCACTCAGATCTGGTGTTTGCTGGCAGCGCCAGCGCCCAGATCTGAAAACTTCCTGGTGCCAGCACAGCCCAAGTCCAGTGATTTGCTGGCACAGAAAGCCAAAAGTTGGAAATTTCCAGGTTCTGGCTCCAGCACCATCCAGATCTGGTGTTTGCTGGGACCACCAGTGCCCAGATTTGGAAATTTCCCGATGCCTTCACAGCCCAGGTCCAGCAATTTGGTTTTATCTAGCTTAGGCAGAGAAGTTCCTGGGACTGGGACTTTCCTTTTTCTTGGAACTGTTGAAACCTGCTCTGGACTGAAAACCCAGAAAAACACCTGCAGCTCACACCTGTGGCCCACCGAGGTCTGGGCCGCTGCATTCCAGCACCAGAGGGACTTAGAAGAGACCGAGTGAGCCAACTACAACCCACAAAAAGGACTTTCTGAATTTGCCATCTCTTCAGCACTGTGAGAGGTTTCATTTAATATTATTCATTTTTCATGCTTGGGAATACTTTACTTGTTAAATAAACTGGTTTTCTCCACTTTTCTCCAGGGAAGTTTTTTCCGGAACTAGTAGGGGGAGGAGCCGCTTGAAGTTGCTTTCTAGACGGACCCTTTTGGAGGTTTCCTCCCAAAATTTGCCCTAAAGCAGCACAAACAATCACAATGGAAACTTTATCAGTGGCACAACACCCCAGCGCTCCAGGAAAAGAAAGGACACGTAAAGTTCTCCAAACATTTGTCCTGCTTTGCTGCAAAAGTCCTGCTGCAGACACTGTGCAGTGTGGAAAGCCAAGAGAAGCTGCAGCTGGCGGCAAATCTTGGGACAGAAGCTTGACCTTGTTCTCCAGGAGAGATTCTTGGCAAGAGCAGACAGGAGAAGATTCCTGGAAAACTGGAACAGCTTTCCAGAAGTGAAATGAAAATGAAAGAAACAATCCAAGATGTTTTCCTCTATTTATTTCTATGCTCCCCTTTTCCATGTTGCACTACTTCTCCATCCCAGTAATTCCAGATGCACTACACCTCTAAGAACGGTGACTTAAGGATTTTTAGACACTCTAAAATACCATGAGGCACACAGAGTTTTCCTTCCCCTGTTTTTACTGGAAGGCAACACAGGAGATGTAAGTGCAGTGCTGGGCTCAGGTAGGAATCCTAGCCCAAGGGAAGGTGTCCCGACAGTGTTTGCCCCTCAGCCAGGCCAATGCAGAGCAGTAAGCGAGGGGATTGCTGTGCCAGTGTGCAGGAGTCAGGGCTCTGCACCTGGGCTCAAGGCTGCAAAGTTCCCGTGTTTGGACAGACTCAGGGGCTGTGCCCGGGGCGCGCGGGGCTCGAACGTGGGGCGAGCGGGGCGAGCGGGGAACGGACACGGGGACGAACGGCCCCGGTGCTTCAGTTGCAGTGGCGGCAGCGGCGGCAGCAGCAGCGGCGGCAGCAGCGGCAAAAGCAGAAAACCAGATAATCTATAACGATCTTTCTCTTTCTATCTTTCTTTTTCTGTCTCTCTTTCTTGGTCTTTCTCTCTTTCTGTCTCTGAGTCTCCCTTTCCCGCCGTCGGACACCCCTCTCCCGGGGTCCCTCGCCCGGCGTCCCTCTCCTCTCCCCGCCTCCCTCTCGTGTCCCCGCCTCCCTCTCCCCCTGCCGGGCCGGGCCATGCCCCCGGCCCGCCCTCGGCCCCGGGCGGGGCTGCCCCGTGCCCGGCCCCTCCCGTCCCGCCGCGGTCTCGCCTCCGCCCGGCTCTTGCCCTACTGGCGGTGGCGCTGCTGGGCGGGCATCAGTGCCGTGTGCGGGGGCGGCATCGCCGCCCTTTGCCTCCGCCTGGCCCGAGCCCGGCCCCGGCCCCGAGGCAGGCTCCAGCCCCGAGCCCGGCCCCGGCCCCGGCTCCTCCCGGGGCCCGCGGAGGACACAGGCGGCGCGGCCGCTGCCGCCGCCTCCGCTGCGGCTTCCCCGGCCCGAGCTCCGCCGCTCGGCAGCGCGGCCGCCGGCCCCGAGCCTCCCGTGCCGCGTTGCGAGGAGCGAAGGCCTGGGCATGGCCGGCCCGGGGCGGCTGAGGGGCGCTCGGGGGCCGTTGCTGGCCCCGGGCCGAGCGCTGACAGCCGCGTCCCGCCCGCAGGGACGGCGCACGAGGCCCTGCAGGAGCGCTACCGCCTGGGTTCGCTGCTGGGGCGCGGAGGATTCGGCAGCGTCTTCGCGGCCACGCGGCTCTCGGACGGCGCCCCGGTGAGCGGCGGGGCCGGCGGCGGGCGCAGGAGGAGGGGACGGAGGAGGAGGACGAGGAGGAGGAGGAGGATGGGGCTGGGCAGGGCGGGCGGCGAGCTGAGCCCGCTGGTGTCCTTGGCTTGCAGGTGGCCATCAAGAGGGTGCCACGGAACCGCGTGCGGCACTGGGGCGAGCTGGTGAGTGAGCGGGGCCAGCGGCAGCAGCCAGGGCTGCCGGGCGGGGATGAGCCGAGGCCCGGCACGGTGGAAGCCGCCAGGACCCCTCGAGGGGGAGCGGGCGTGGGCGCAGCGCAGGGCGCAGAGCATCCCGGGCTGGCTCAGGGCTTCCCCAGGCCTGGCACGGCATCGGCCCCACTGAGGGCATCGTGCTCCTTCCGCAGCCCGACGGCAGCAGGGCCCCGCTGGAGATCGTGCTGCTGGACAAGGTGTCCACTGGCTTCCCCGGCGTGGTGCAGCTCCTGGAGTGGTTCGAGCTGCCCAACCACATCGTGATGGTTCTGGAGCGGCCAGAGCAGTGTCAGGACCTGCATCGTGTCATTCGGTCACGGCGGTTCGTGCCCGAGGAGGTGGCGCGGGAGCTGTTCCGCCAGGTGCTGGAGGCCGTGTGGCACTGCACCAGCTGCGGGGTCCTGCACCGCGACATAAAACCCGAGAATATCGTGCTTGACCTGGCCACCGGGCAGGCCAAACTGATTGACTTTGGCTGTGGCACCTACCTGCAGGACACAGCCTACACCCACTTTGCAGGTGAGCCCACGTAAGGGTGTACTCCTGGTCCCGGGATCTCATGGCCCAACATCTCCCAGCCCAAGCTGGCTGTGGCAGCGGGGATTCTCCCTTTTGCTGCCAGTCAGGGGACTGAGTCTTCAGCTGAGTTGCTTTAGAGCGGGGCTGGGTGGGGAGCCATCTTCCAGCCCTGCTGGCAGCCTTTGCCAGCCACTCTGCCCAGGACTGGGGCTGGGCTGGGGCAGCCAGCCCGCCCAAAAACCCCCATGGGTGGGGGTAGCAGAGAGGGGGGTGGAACCTGTGCTCCAACCAGTTTGGTGTGCAGGCGAGAGGAAGGGTTTGGACTGCTCCACTCGCCCTGTTTGCCTTGGCTTCCTAATATTTTTGGGGCAATGCAGACAGGGAGGATAAGGGCATGTTTTCCCCAGCACAGAGAGGGTTTTTCCTTTGCATGTCATGGTCAGGCTTAGCCAGGGCTTCCTCTGCCCTCTTCTGACACCAGTGACTTCTTTTCCAAGCCTAAGTTTGTGCACAAGTCCCAGGTGCTGGCGAGAGGGCAGTGGTCACCCTGTGTGCCACTGATGCAGCCCCCGCAGGCCCAGGGATGCTGGGGCCAGGCTCTGGGAGCAGCAGCATCCCCCTGCTGAACTCCATCTGTATTCCATAGGAACACCATCCTACAGCCCCCCGGAATGGAACGACTTTGGCTGGTACCATGGCGAGGCAGCAACGATCTGGTCCCTGGGCATCCTGCTGCACCAGATGGTCTGCGGGGAGCACCCTTTCAGGAGGGGCCGGAGCCTCAGCTGGGGCCAGCTCCCGCTGCCACAAGGGCTCTCTCAAGGTGGATCCTCTTCTCTGGGCACGGGGGGAATCCCAGTGCTGGGAGCCAGCAGCGGGCTCGTGAGCATCCCGCTCTGGCAGCTGCTGAGGAGGTGGCACATGTCCTGCTCTCCTCCAAAACAGGGAATGGATGGGAAAGTTTAGGCCCAACCCTGAGCACATCCAGCAAGGCCTGGGCATGGCAATAGTGGGGCAAAGCAGACAGGAGCCTTCTCTGGCTGACTGGCAGTTTCTGCTTTCTCTGCGCAGAGTGCAAAGATCTGATCAGGTGGTGTTTATCCGTGAACTCCTTGGACAGACCCACATTAGAAGACCTGTTCTCTGATCCTTGGGTGCAGGATATTCCTCGGCCCTAGAAGAAGGGAGAGAGCCACAGGCACACTTTGATCCAGGGCCCTGGTAAGTTGCAGCTCCACACATGCCGTGGCAATCAGAAGCAAAGGAACCCAGACCTTTTTGTGCTGCCTGTGTCACTGCACAGGGTCATGGGATGGGCTGCTCTGCCCAGCACTGGTGGCCACCATCCAAGCTGGTTTTGCTTGTGCTGGTTCCCTGACAGCTGGGGCCCTGGGCAGAGCCCTGAGAGCCTGGTCTGCCCCCAGGGAAGGAGAAGGAGCCCCTGGAGAAGCTGTACCGGGTGGGGATGCTGCTGCTGCTGCTGCTGCTGCTGCTGCTGCTGCTGCTGCTGCTGGAGACAGCCAGGATGGCACCAAGGATGAGAAGCTCTTCCTCAGCCTGGCCACTGGAGGCTGAAGGTGATGGACTTTGATTCTGGCACCTTCTTCAAAGCCAGACTCCACAGGGAATTTGCAGGTGAGTCCCCACGCGGGGAAATGCTGCCAGATTTGGGCATGGCCCAGCCTGGCTGGGAAGCAAAGGTTCCCCCTTTGCTGGGGAAGATGCAACTCATTCTTCAGTCGCTGCCCAGCTGTTTTTGGCAGGGCTGGGGCATGGGCTGGGCTGGGTATGAAATGGGAGTGGGCTCCTGGCCCTTCCAACAGCCCCCAGCACCCACCATGGCCTGGGCTGGGGCTGGGGCTGGGGCAGCCAGCCCGACACAAGCAAAGCCCCATGGTGGGAGCAGAGGTGGGACTCCAGAGGCTGTGCAGGGGCTGCTTTGCTCTGCAGGGTGGAAGTGAGAAAGTGTGGGCTTCCCTCAGCCATGGCTGGGTTTTTCCCTACCATGTAGGAGTTGGACCGTCCTCAAGGCCCTGACAGAGATAAGATTTTTTCCCGTTTTTCTTGTTTTCCCTTTTTGTCTCTAATCTCTTTTCAAGAATGTGTTGTTTGTTTTTCCACAGGAAGCGTTCCAGGTGGTCCATTGCAGATGGGGAAGTGTTTGGAAGCAGCTGTGGCGTGGATGGGCGGTGACCTTGGAGAAGGCTGAGGCCATGGTTTTGGAGCAGCTTTTCTTGCAGCCGTGGCTGGCGTGAGGTGGGTCCCTGTGTGCTTGGCAGGGTGGGATCAGAGCTTTTGGGAGATGGCAGCGAGCACAGGAGCATCCTGCTCTGGGCAGCTGCTGAGGGCTGGATGTGCCGTGGCTGGCTGCAGGCTGGGCACATGTCCTGCCCTCCTGCTCTGCTGCCAAAGGCAGCAGGGATGGGCAGCTCTGGGCACAGCTCTGGGCACCGCAGGCCTTGGCACAAGGGCACAGGAGCCCTCAGCTGAGGGGCACTTTCTGCTTTCTCTCCTTGCAGCTGGGCTCTGCGGCTGCTGAGGCTGCTCTGGGCTCTGCCAGGGCTCTGCTGGGCTCAGCCCTGGGCCCAGCTGGGCTGGCTCTGCCCTCACATTGCTCTGACAGCTTTGCATCAGACGAGCCCCTTGCGAGCACAGCGCCTGAGCTTTCTGCTTTGGCAGCTGAGTGAGACTCTGCTGCAGGCCCAGAGATTGTAGCTGGGGACACACATCCAATTGGCAAGAACCCAAACCCTCCACAGTCCCAGCTGAACGCCTGGATCTGCACAGGGTGTTTGTCTGTCCCATTCTTCCTTCTTGATTGGCTGGAATTGTGCAATTGCACTTTCTTCCTCCTCTAGAAGTGCCTGAGTGGGCCAAAGCTGGCGAGTGGGCCGTGTTCCTGAGGCAGTGCAGTCTGGAGCTGATGGATGGAGAATTGCCCTTCTGCACTGCCAAACCAGAGCAAAAAGCCCTAAGTGGCACTTGGTGTCTCTAAGAAATCCCTGACAGTTTCAAAGGGAATGTGCAGCTCCTTGCCAGGCTGAGAAGGAAGGGCATCTTCTAAAGGATTTGGGCTTTGACAGAGTTTCCATTCCCAGTCCTGCTTGGAGCGGGAAGGGCACAAAGCAATTTCCTCTTGCTTTGAGCACAATTTCAAATGGCAATGTTGGAAACAAAGCCCAGAATCTTTTCAAAGGCTGCTGAGGTCAGTAAGATGGATCCATGCCATCAGCACATTTACAATGTAAATAACTGAGTTCCCCTTTAAAAAAGATCATTTACCTCTAAATGCAAAGTTTCAGAAGTTTTTCACTAACACTTGGGTTTTGTTTTCATCTTTCACATTTTATATAGTTTTTTTTCTTTTTCCTTTTTTTCCTTTAAATAGAAAACATGTCCTACAGAAGGAGTGTCCTTTGCTCCTGGTTCCTGTGTGGAGCAGCTCCCTTGCTGCTGGCTGAGCTGCTCAGGCAGAGCCCGGCAGCTCCTGGCCCTGCAGGGCTGAGGCTTTTCCCCGTTGCTGGGCACAGACTGATGGAGCAGCACTGCTGAACACGGGCACACACAGAGGGCCCAGCAGCAGCTGCCTTTGGCCACCTGAGGCTCCAAGGCCCAACCTCTGAGCAGCCAGGGCTGGAAGAGACTGGCAGCATCTGATCCCTGACTCTGGGCCAGGGCTGCACAAATGACCCCACAGCAGTGGCAGCAGCAGCAGCAGCAGCAGCAGATGGAGCTGACTTTCAGCACAGCCCCTGCCCCTGTTCCCTCCCATGTGCAGCGGTGTCACAGCAGCCTGAGGCACCTGGGAGCCCCCAGTGCCAGCAGGGATTTGAGATGGCAGCCCTGGGCTCCTGGAGGCTGTGCAAGGAACGGAGCTGGGCACTCCCTGTCCATGGGGAGCTTGCAGATGGAAAAGGCTGCTGTGCCCAGGCAGCTCCAAGGGCACAGAAAGGAGGCTCTGGAGCACTGGATCTGTGCCAGTGCCACAGTCCTGGGCAGCAGCCAGCCAGCCCTGGGGGAACAGAGGGCACAGCAAGAGGGGCAGAAGCAGGCAAGGGCAGAGACTGGGAAGAGCCCGGCCCACGAGCAGGAACAGCTGCTCCATTGCACTCTTGGAGAAAGCTCTTGGCTGCTTCAAAGCGCTGAAAGGCGTGAAGGGCAGAGAGGAGGCCACAGCAAACAATGCTCCTGTTTGCACAGCCTCCCCTCTCCGTGTCCCAGAAGGAATTGGATGGACTGGATTCATCTCTCCGAGTGGTCTCGTTCAGCATGAGCAGCTCAGCACCAGGAGCTGAAGGAGCTGAAGCCTCAGGCCACAGGAGCTGGGCAAGAGGGAACTTCTGGAGCAAAGTAATGCTGCTAAAATAGCCCCAGCTGAATGCAGCGGATATCATCATGGAATCACAGAATCCTTTCTGTTGGAAAAGCCCTCTGAGCTCACCCAGTGCAGCCGCTCAGCCAGCAGTGCCAAGCCCAGCACTAAAGCACGTCCCTGAAGTGCCAAGGCCTGGACAGCAGCCCTGAGTGAGGCCTGGACAGCAGGCCCTGAGCCCAAGGTGGCCTCTGGAGGAACCTTCCAAGCAAAGGTTATCTTTGTATCTGCTCCCTGCTGAGATATGCATGGTCATTAGCACTGTGATAGATGTAGCCACTCCTTAGTGAAACATGGATGGACCTTTGTGTATTTAGAAGCCAGAGAAGGCCATGAAATCTGACATCTGGCCTTGTGTGGGGCTGAAGGATCAAAGTCAGCTGCCTTGGCTCCTCCTTGAGGCCTGGCCAGGCTTTGGGAGGGAGCCAAGAGGAGGATGAAAGCAGATGTTGCCACACTAGCAGTGCTGTCAGTTTGTTCATGCAGCACTGTCAGAGCTGGGCCCTCTCCCAGCGGGCTTGGAGCCTCAGCTGGGGCTGGAGGCACCTGCAGGAATTGCCAGTGCCCAGGAGTGGCTCTGCAGCCCTTGGCTGTGACAGCTTCCCCAGCTGCTGTGTGCATCTGGGGGATGGCAAAGGCTGAGGGGAAATGCTGCTGCATCTTTCTTAATCACTGCAGGCAATCTTTGGTGGGGATGATTGGGTGCATTGCTGAGCTGCTCCTTTTGTGATTCTTTGCTGCTCTGAACTGCAGGAAATGACACTGATTCCTTCAGCTGGAGTCTGTGTCTTTGGTGCTGACTTTGGCCACTGGTCAAACCAAACTGGCCCAGTCTGGCCAGATCCCAACCAAATGTCACTTGTTCAATGTCAATGTGAGGAATCAGTGCCATCAGAAATTCCCAGATGGGAAGCCCTTCCCTGGAGTTCCCTGGCTCTGGAGTGGGCTGAGGTGGGAGCCCCGTGGGAGCAGTGGGGCAGTCGGGTAAAAGAAGCTGCAGCCCTGGATGTCTTCAAATGCATCCAAAAACTGCACATGGAAAAGGAAAAGGACTTGTGGGTTTGGGCAGACAAAGATGAATTTGTTAAGAGTCCAATGGAAACAGCACCTTCAGAAGGAACAATTATTGTTGGAATGCTCCCACATGGAGCAAGAGCAGAAGGTTTTAATCTTGAGCTCAGCTGCATTTGTGCCAGTGAAATATCAATATACTACATAACTATATGTATTTATTGTATAATAAGACCTTAATATATATATATTATAGATATATTATAGATATATGTCTGTATCTATCTGTCTATATGTATATCAATATGTATATCTACATATAAAATAATAATAATGTGAAATAGTGCTGACAATACTAATTTGGTAGCTTTGGCTGCTCAAGAATGTAACTCTAAATACCCTACAGAACAGGATTGGCCAGGACCCTCATGTCAGTGGTCAACTATGTGAGATTGTAGACAATTAAAAAAGGAGGAAGGGATGAAATTGGCTATTTTCCCAGGGTTTGGTGATACTGTGATGCAGAGGGCTTTGTCTGTTGTTGTGAAAAATACAGGGATGAAGCCTGCAGGGTTTTTCATGTACCAGACTATGCACAAGCTGCAGGATTGGTTGAACGGGTGAAGGGGTTGTTAAAAGAGCAGTTGATAAAATGAGGAGATGGGAACCTTTGCCCATGGAGAACCCATCTCCCAGATGTGCTCCATGCCCTGAACAATGGCCCACGGGGGAAATGGAAACCCCCTGGCTGTGCACGGCTGCCCCCAGTTTGCAAATCCAACCATGGGCAGTGAG